ACATTGCTTCCCAGAGATCTCTGCCTGGACGTAGAAGAAGCTGGGTTTATGGCCGGGTTTATATGGCGAGGCAGTGGCATCCTAGGAAACAGAGAGGAATAAAAGACTAGAAACCCAATGCTAGCTGTTGAAAAGATCCTTATGTATTAGTACGTACTCCCTCCGTAAAGAAATATAAGACTAGAAACCCAAACACTCTTATATTTGTTTACAGAGGGAGTAGTAAGTAGTACTCCCTCCGTTCCTAAATACTTGTCTTTCTAGAGATTTCAACAAGTGTCTACATACGAAGCAAAATGAGTGAATCTATACTTTAAAATATGTCTATATACATTCGTATGTGTAGTCCATTTGAAATCTCTAGAAAGACAAATATTTAGGAACGGAGGGAGTATGTTCTTATTGGCTGAAAGCCTGAAACACCTCCTGAAGAAAGCAAGTCTTGTTGCCCTGGAGTGCATATTGCCTTTGTTCATTGATCAAACCAAGCATTTTGTAGAACGGTACATTTTTTCCTGGATATCCAAACTCTGCAGATGAAAACATATGATAAAACTATTGACGTGTTCATTGTCAAATATTTGGTAACCAGAATTTGCTTCTTCTAATTGATGTGGAGTGCATAAAAAAAATGCTTAATCAGGCTTTGCAATCACTGGGAATGATGTTCATCCTGTGCAGCAGTTCTATTGATGGGCGCTTGTTACTGAGTGCTCCAGGAGGGCATAGTGGGTGGACTAGTGCCACCAAAAAATGCATTCAAAAGTTACGGAAAAAGAACCTATTTTAAGAACTTTAAAAAGGGGTAAATTCTGCTATAGGTTTGAACCGGATACTATTCAGAACCACTTCCTTGGCACAATAATGACAGCCAAGTTGGATACAAAGAGGAGGAATCCAAAGAACTGAAAGCTACTACTGAGCTCTTGATTCTGACGAAAAATATAGAAATAAAAAGGTAATTAGTTCACTAGATAATATATTACAGCCGGATAGTCTTCATAGACATTGAACTTGCAACACAGGCGATCCGATTCTAACACACAGGTCTCTTGCTACTGCATCTTGCAATTCAACAAGGCATATACACATATAAATGTATTCTTGTTACTACATCTTGCAATTCAACAAGGCGGAAAACTTCATATGGACATTACTTTTAGGATGGCAGTGAATACTACTCCCTCTGTCCCATAAGTTAAGAGATTATGACAATCAATATGCCCATAATATAAGATGTTATTACCACAACCAATATACATATTGATTGTAATAACATCTTATATTATGGGGCGGAGGGAGTAAAACTAGCTTACATCAGACAGAAGAGTCAGAATAGATACAATACACACCGGAACATATATTGTTTGAGCATGTACCATGACTGGTTCACATAATGAAGCTTCCTTACATCAAAAGGATCTAGAGAATCTGGCAGACTATGACGGAATAACTAAGAGTTACAGTACTTCAGAAATACACAATCGACCAAGTGACCTTCAGAAGCATCTTGTAGTCCCCGCAGGTGATATTCTCATCATCGTAACCATTGCGCCTTGGAGTAAACTGAACAGTGCGGGCAGATAACTCATCATCACCGACAGTAGCAGCCACAGTCAACACCAGCAACTCATCCACAGAGACTCCTACTACGCGCCGTGCCGTTTGTAGGACTCCACTGTCACCTGCAGTTAGCGCACCACTCACTTTGCTATCATGTAGCACAATGTCGCATGGAATGCTGGTAGTGGAAGCGACAATCTTCCCATGGAATTCATCAGGTCCCTCAAGGATCTTGATCTCAACAGTGCCCTCCACCGACCTCCTAATGAATGTATAGTTTAAATCCAATATGCTGTGCATGCTGACAAGTGTTTCCGTATCAACCACATATCTGGGACTATATTCCAGCCTGCGGATAGCATCCACCTCCATCAGGCCTTTACTGAGTCTATCATCATCGACAGTCATCCCATGCACATCCTTCACCTTCAGATTGATTTCGAAGAATATATCATCACATACCATGAATCCTCTCTTGGGTCCAGTCAAAATCAATGAATCATCCTGCAAGACCAATTTGAATAGATAAATTCCAGATGCTTGTTTCTGGAATTGATTGAATATTTGGGGTTCAATTTTTAGCTATGTTTTGAATGACGAAACAAGGTAATTAGACTCAGAAAAATTGTGCTACATCTGTGCCCATGTTATTTTTTCTCCTTTTCTTATTGTGCAGATTGCTGTAGTGCCATGAACTCACGCACGCAAATGATAAACCCCTGGCTCCTAACACTATTCGCTATAATAAGACAACTAATTGAAGTATCGTTAAAATCAACATCATACGGAACCTACGAAGCACCAATACGGATACGAGTATCGGTATCGGGCCAATATGGATACGTAAATTCGCCATTCTGAAAAAGTGCCAATACGGGGATACATTTTACTATTTTTTAATTCAAAAATAAAGTATAGAACTTAGGAACAGCATATTACTTTCATGTTTGCTCTCCTGAGCATGCAGCTACTAGCCTCGCCTGAGCAAGGACATTGGTGAGGAGGAGGGGCAGCTCGTCGCCGGCTAGCCGCTGGCACTGGGTGAACAGCCACCACCTGGTGTGAGCTTGAGAAGGAGGAAAGAAACTTGGGAGGGAACAGATGGGGGCCATCGGGGTACTAGGGTTGCTGATTGCTTCTTTACTGGGTTGAGAGGGCTGGGCTGGGCCGTATCCAAAACGTATTGGCAAGTATCGGGGGAGTATTGTAATTCTTTTAAATCATTTATTCAAGGATCCTCCATGGATACGCATAGGGGGAGTATCGGAGGCAAATCGGTATCTGATACGGTATCCAATACAGATTCGCTGGTTGGCTCAAGTATGTGTACATTCGAGTATGGAACAGATACAAAACTAGATCCGTTATTCAAGTATAACATACAAATCCCAAATATGGATTACTGACATACAACATTCATAAGTAATCATTGATAGACGTTGTGCACAACTTAACTCGAAATTTCACCGTCAGGAAATCAGCAGTTTTTTTATTAAACCAGAGGACTGATATGAGGTACCAGTACAAGAAAACACACATTGATATATTGTATGTGTCTGTGGCAGTAATACCTTTGAGGTGATGAGCTGGCAATCATCCTGGTCGCGCCGGAATATATAGACACATTTTCGATCCAGACTGTCCCTGGCTATGATGGTACCGTAGACATAGAGTGGGTAGCCATAGTCAGAGGAAACAATCTTGATGGAAACAACATTGACTGAATTTTTGAGCCGGAATCCCTCTTTGAAGATTTTACCAGTATGTCGCATGGGACCAACAGGTGCTGTCAAATGAGAAGAAAACGCATATAAATCAATCAAAGAGAGTAACAAAAGAGTATGTATGTATGTACTCCCTCCATTCCGAATTACTTGTCACACGTATGGATGTATCTAGATGTATTTTAGTTCTAGATACATTCATTTCAGAGACGAGTAATTCGGAACGGAGGGAGTATGTAGGTGTAAACCGAGCCTAATTGAGGAATGAATTTGAAAGTGGCAGCCTTTGCTTCCGAATAAATCTAGCAGAAAGTGAAAGTAACCTTCAGATTTATTTTGATGAATGAATGACACTGACTGACTGGTGTTTGAATTGAAATGAATTAGACATGCACAACGAAGCAACAAGGATGGATAGGCTTGTTCTGTTGCAAGGGGAGGGGTATGAAGGGGATTTGAGTGGATTGGGGAGGATAAAATCTGCTATGAATCAAAATCCACCTCCAAAAGAGGTTTAACCGAACATAACGAGATGCATATTAAGGGGGATTGGATTGGATTGGAACGTACACTCCTCGTCCAGGTCGAGTTTGCCGTTGAAGAAGTAGCGGACGTATATGAAACGACCCTGCTTGGGGTCGTACTCGCTGTATCGCGGGTCCAATGAATCCTCCGGCGACTCGCACCGATACTCTTCTTGGTCCCACTCCCACTTTCTCGCCGCAGCAGCCGCCGCCACGGGAGAAGAATCGCCGCCGGCCATGGAAGAGGACTCTCTCTCTCTCTCTCTCTCTCTCTCTCTCTCTCTCTCTCTCTAGGGTTTGGTCGATCCAAGAGTTTTTTTTTAGTTGAGAAAGATGGACGAGTCGGGGATCTCGAAATAGAAAGAGGAGCCATATCATATCACAACTTGGGCCCTTTTAGGCGCGCGCTCGACGGTCAGAGGCCTAGGCCCATTCACTGTGTGTCGTCCAACACAGTGGGCATCATCGTGTTGGACTCGTTGGGCCATTCTGGCCCATAGTAGCCCTCACGATCACCCCCCAACCAAGGACAAGACAACGAAAAACGCTGCCTTCCCTCAACACACACACACACACACACGCACCGGCGCGCGGCTTGCTTCACCATCGTTCTCAGCCAGAAAAACCTCGCTCCTCCGGCAAAACCCTAGCCGAATCTGGTACGATCTGCTGAGGTTCGACGATCGGCGGACCAGCATTGGCGGCATGGATCCTTTTGAGGTGCCACCCCCCTCCTCTCTCCCCGCCCCCCTCCTCGTTTTTCTCATGGGCCTCCGCACAAAACCCACCTTTCTTAATCCTGGGCCTTAATCACTTTATTTATTAATTGCGGTCCGTGCGGTTTGGAATCAGTTCATGGTCCGATTATTTCCCCCATCAAGTAGGGGGCGTTGGGTTAGTAGGGCTGGCTGGGATTGGATTTCTCGCAGATTTCGTGTCACGTGTGCGTTTGTTTGGTTCCGTACGGATTTCCTACATTTATTGTTGCATTTATTATTGTTATATATATGATGATTGATTGGGACGATATACAGCAAACGCAAGTTGCTGGCAAACGAAATAGTACTAGATAATACTGTTTATCCTTCATATACTTTTACATGATGATGGGATCTTACGGCCTTAAACCATCTCATCAACATAAATTGGTATCTTCTACCGATTGATTGCATGGTTGGATCCTACGCTCATGTTATATAATCTTCACTTGCAGAACTCCCCGACATTCCACTTGCAGCTGGACGAGGATCCTGAGACCATGAGCAGTAATTATGACGCTCTGCTTGATGAAATTATCCAGCATATCAGACAGCTTTGGGGTCAAGTGAATGGACAGCAGAATGGGATGGTGGAAGGTATTTTAAGCTTGCCCCAGGGTGCAGGCAAATTCATTATTGTGCTACTCGCTCCACAACACTGGGTGCGCAATAACACTGATCCAGTTAGACTATTGTTTTCCTTCCATAATCTGTATTCTGATGGTTTTCACCGAAAAGGCAAGTGGTACCTATTTAAAGATATCTATCTAGAGATGCAACAGCGTGGAGAAATTGCAGGAACCAATTTAAGATCACTTGGTTTTACTGGCAACTATAACCAACTGGGTTCTGAATTCAGTAGCATTAACTTAGGAGGTTATGCGCTCTTCCAAATTTACAAAGGCATTACTGAGTTTCCTGGGAAAGAAATCAAACCACAGCTCAAGCTGAGTGTGGTCAGCTTTTCAGAGAGCATGCGATTTCCAATGCTTCGCAAGTACATACGTGACCGCATGTCCATGGGTCTGTCTTCCGCAGAGAATATTGAATGGTTGTCGCATCATTTCCAGGATTGGTCAGTTTATTGTGAGAAGATACGTGACGGTAGAGATGCTTTTGGAGCTATTCCTGGAATAGATAACTTTGATGACCTGCTTGCACTTGTTAGTATGATACTATAGATGATCTTTGGTAGCTTAACAGTTGACAGATGCACAATGATACTATAGATGATCTTTGGTGGCTTAACAGTTGACAGGTGCACAATGTAATCCTCATCAACAAAAACAAGGTCATCACTTCTCTGCAACTTAAAATAGGTACCGCTGACTGTGAGCCCTCAAAATTTAGCCCATTGGTACTCAGTCTAAACAATAGCATGGGATGTCAAGGACTGAGCAAGTCATACTTACCTCTGATATCTTTGGGTTCTTCTATGTCTGAAGATAGAACTTGCTACAAAGAGTTCCATATTCAGTGGATAACAGGCAAGATGCAGAACTAAAGTGACAAAAGAGCACAAATAACAATGTTATGGCTGCACAATGTTTTATGTATGGATGTCAGGAACTGTGGTTTCATACAACGACATTTGTAACATTTCTACCGAAGAAAACTGACTCAACGATCATCCTGGTCTCTATAGCATTTAGCTTAGTTGACAACATGTCTAACTGGCTGCTGAAGTTCTTGTCACCGAGGTCTGGCAGGTTACCTCAACTGGCCAGCTGATTGAAGTTAACTTCATATTGGCCCGATAATCTATTCATTGGTTGCAGAAGAAGCAACATACATGCCTCCTGCTGAAATTGGCCATGCTTAAGATTCAGTTTCCATGCCCTTTTCTGTTTGAGGTGACCCAGCATATGGAGTTCAGCAGACCTCAAGTCTATAACCAGAGGGGCTTACACAAGATAGTGATTGGCTCTCTGACTGCCATTTTCCACTAAGTGGGGATTAAATGCCATCAAACACCTCATATCCACGTATGCTCTGGAAACACTGTAATGATTGACTGTTTTATGGAACTAGACGTTCTGGTACTCATGGAGAAAATCAGAGGAGAATGCAAGATAAGCTCAAGGCCATTGGACATGTTGCCTGCTGGCAGATGGCTTCTCTAGTCCTTAGAGGCTTAGAGCATTTTTCTCGTGTGTCTTTTTGTTATTCTTGTTCAAGTTTTTACTGTTCTTATTTTAGAGTGGCGAGATGGCCTTGTAAGCTTTTTCTTCTTCAAATGGAATGACTACTAAGAATCGTGTTGGCAGAAAAAAAATGTTCGGTTTTTGTACTCAACATATTGCCTGCTTCTGAGAATTGTTTCTGAAGTGTAGTGCTTTGTATGCTGTTATTTGATCTTTAAAACACAGGACCTGCCCTTTAAATTAAAGCACCTTGCCGCACTTCCACTGTTGGATACTCGTGAAACAGAATATAAATGGCGCAGGTAATAAGGTAAAGTTGTTATCCACTTCAATAAATCCTCAAATTATTGTTGTTCGAAGGCTTTAAGTATATTTGTTATGCCATTGCATGAAACTCACCTTGACAATTTTGTTATTTGCGCTGCAATTTCTGACAGTTTTGCTATTATGTTATGCCTCTATGATGTGCCCCGTCTGGTCACCACCTCCGTCAGATCGAAGATTCGCCGCTGCTGCTCTCAAGCGACCTATATGATTCCCTGTCATCGGGGAGGAGGGCTACCCTGGAGATATGCAGGTGGATCCGGTTCCGAAGATGGTGCCCAGTAGCATCGTGCTGGTCATGGGCCAGAGTAGGGGTGGGCACTTTTGAACCAAAAACCGAAAAACCGAACCGAACCGAACCATATTAACCGATTTATCTATTAATTCGGTGATTCGATTTTTTGTTCGGTGGGAAATTTTAAGGTTGTTCGGTGTTTGGTTTTTGTTCGGTTTCCAGTGTCCAAAAACCGAATACACCGAAAAAACCGATATGTACGATACCCCATGCAATACCTTGTTTTCGAAAGTGCAGCGGGGGCGCGTCCTCTGGCACATACTTGTTGGTTGTGGCAGACGTCAGGCCAGCCACTAGATGAGTTTCTAATCTGACAATCTAACTAGTACTCGTAGGAGTATGTATGCATGCCCGGCGCTTGGTTATGGAAGTAACTAGCAATTAGTGTATCAATTAGTGCATGAGTTGCTTAGTTTACACGCATCACACATATTCTTCCGTACATAATACATGTAACGCCCCATGTGATTTTGCACTTAGTTATGTTCACTAGTTTGCTTGACCGAATAAAGCACGGACTGATGTTAAGGTTGCTAGTTCTTGTGATATATACTGATGAGTGCATGTATTTTGGTTTTTTGGTTAACCGAATAAACCGAACCGATATATTATGGGTAAATATAGTTCGGTTTCTAAATATTGTGTGATTAATTCGGTTTCCATTTCTTCAAAACCGAAATTATAAAACATCGAATAAACCAAACCGTATTAACCATATAAACCGAATACCCAGCCCTAGGCCAGAGCTGCCAGTCGAGTGCTCTGCAGAATGAAGAAGCCATAGTGATGACTTCCTGCCAATTGGCAGCTGCTTCTTATGGTCCACACATCCTCTCGTGGCCTTCTCCGCAAAAGGCATCCTTTGCCGTCTCCTGAGGCACTAATCTATCATCTGTTCGTGCAAAGGAGTTGCTTATTCAGTTGGGTTCTATATGGAAACATGTTTGGGGAGTTCGAATTTATGAGTGGTCTCTTCTTCTGTTTATGTTTCTGTGCTTCAGAGCAGCAAGGATTCCCTTCATACTAGGTTAATTTGCTGAAGATTTT